TTAAAAACCACAGCACCCACAGCAAATTGTATTTTTATATTTGAATCATAGAATAAACAGAGATTCAAAAATGAAAGCTTTAAATCTTATTTTATTTGATAAACTGTCCAAATTTAAGATTTTAACCTATCTGTCTATTCATCTATATATCTGTCTGTCTCTTTGTGGTTTCTGTGACTCACAGAAGTGGAACATTTTCAGTCAAAAAATTGTTAAGTAACTTTAAAAACATTTTCAAGTTGGAAGGTGCAGAGAGATGCCAGTCTGACACAGACAGGTTTGTGCCCGCCCACCTTGTACCGTGATATAATGTGACACATAGCATTTCTTAAGCCGTATTCAACTGATTTTTTATACCTGCTTTTATTTATAGAATGGAAATCCTCAGAATCCTTATTGCAATGGAATAGATGGTGTAATGGAGGCATACTACATGAGTTTAAAATCAGTACAGCTTTATGGACCTACAAACTTTGCTCCTGTTATTAACCATGTAGCAAGGTAATGCTTATGAGAGCAATTCTAAGGGAATTTAGTACAGTTAGATTATATTGTACAGTTGTATTTAAGACTTTACTTCTAATCACTGTTGATGTAAACTGTTGACTTGTTACATATTTCAGTAGTGGGATATTGTTTTGGAAAAGTAGCATCCTTCTTTTATACAACGACTTGTAGTCACTTTCCTACTCATCAGAATTTAGAAAGTAGACCTATATCCAATTGCTAGACCCAACAGGTGGTTTTATGTCAATTTACCATTTAGCAATAGATTCAAAAAGCCTTCACTTGTAGGGAATATCATTTGGATTTAATCCTTGAAAAAGATAACAGATATGGTCGCTTCTGGTGTGAGAGAATCTGCCATCTACAAAGACGTTGCCCAAGGGAGGCCCGGATATGTTACAATCCTGCAGGGAGGTTCTCTCATGTCCCCCAACAGATATGATGCGACCACTAGACCATCTAGTAAAGAGTATTTAGTTGGATATGGACAGACTTGAAATTTGTGCTGTCTCCTTGGTTTTTTTTAAATAACTATCTCCCCATGATCCACCAATAGGAAACAAGTGTTGCAGCAGACACCAATCTCTTTTACATTACAGTGGGCCCTCAGTATCGGCTGAGTTTTGATTCTAGGACACTCCCATTATATACAGTATTGTAGTAAAATCACCTGAGCGAAGGAAGATAGATGCTTTTGAACTGTGGTGTTGGAAGAAAGTGCTGAGAGTGCCTTGGACAGCGAGAAGATCCAACCAGTCCATACTTCAAGAAATAAAGCCTGACTGCTCATTGGAGGGAAGAATAGTAGAGGCCAAGATGAAGTACTTTGGCCACATCATGAGAAGAAAGGAAAGCTTAGAGAAGACAATGATGCTGGGGAAAATGGAAGGAAAAAGGAAGAGGGGCCGACCAAGGGCAAGATGGATGGATGGTATCCTTGAAGTGACTGGATTGACCTTGAAGGAGCTGGGGGTGGTGACGACCAACAGGGAGCTCTGGCGTGCGCTGGTCCACGAGGTCACGAAGAGTTGGAAACGACTGAACGAATGAACAACAACAAAGTAAAATCACGTTCCTTTTTTAAAATGGCAAGGTGGTTTACTTTTTGGAGAATGGCTGAATCCATAGATGCAGAATTCATAGTTATGGAGGAACAACTCTACCTTATTATAATGCTTTGGTACCACTTTTAGTCCCACGTGGATTTAGAATTCCTTTCTAGAGAATTCCAGTGTCTCTTCAGTTGACAGTTTCAAGGATTTTGTAGTATGTGACTGTGGCAGTTAAAATGGTGACAAAGAGCTATAATTCTGTAATGTGAAAGAAAATAGGCCTTTGTAATTGTGAAGTGCATGTGCATGTGGGTTTTTAAAAAAAGGAAAATATATTACCTATGTTCCCACTACATACAAGAGGACCCCCTTTGCCTTTTAGCACAAACACACAAAAGAGTGACAGAGGAAAGAATGGCATGCTTGCACAACACACAAGAAATTTTATTCTCCTTTTTTAAAAATTCATGGGACTGACCTTTGATTGAATTGCTTTGATGATATAGGTAGGCTTGGAAGCAACTTTGAATGAACTTGATTTAACCTAATAGCAGTAACTCAACAATACCAAATGGGGGGCTTTAGGTTGGAAATAACTTGAAAGGTCACAACAATAACAACAATAACTTCCTAATTTTAAATATCCCATAGTGTAACACTGTAATATTCCACATATTTTTCTTGCAGCCCTTAACAAAAAATCCTAGATTGCTTATACATTCTGTGTTATAAATAATCTGCCCTGTCACTATACTTTATTATGTCATCGTGCCTTTAGTTATTCATAGACTAGCTGTATAACGAACTTGTGCATATGAATGTCAGATGATGTCACAATTACTTCCCTGTTTCTTGCTTGCTGAAAACTGGGATTTTTAAGCCTGTTTTAGTCAGTGTGGATTTAAAAGCTTTTTAAGGTTTTATGTGTTTGACATTCAAATATGATTGTGTGCTCTGTTGTGTTTCATCCGTTTTAGATATGCTGCCTCGGTAAAAGATGGCTCCCAGTATTTTGTGCTTCTCATTATTACAGATGGTGTCATTTCTGACATGGCTCAAACTAAGGAATCCATAGTGAATGTAAGTTGTCTTTAAACTTGATCATGGATGTAATAATAGCATGATAAAATTGTATATGTTAACTACATGATGAGATAACATGTATTTCATTTCCAGTCAGCTACCATATGTATAACAGAAATGAAAATAGCGAGCATAGGGAAAATGTTTTGAAAATGCTGCAGTTCATGGAAAAAAAATAAAATTAATAATTACGTTTATCATTCCTCTAGCTTAAAAACTATAACTCAACTGCGATCTGTGAGCAGTCCATCCAAGAGAACTCACAGTAAAACCTCCTTGTATCAACCAGGAAGCGGTTTTCAAAGAGGCATTATATATATCACAAAAACTGTGATAAAAAAATGCACAAGGGCAACAGTAACTTTTCTATAAAAACCTTGTAAATCATCCTCGCAAAAATTTTGAGGGCACACAATGCAAGGTAGAGAAATAACATTTCTGTTATGGGCTTTCTCAGGAATTTTAAGTAAGGTATTGAGTTTGTTAAGAACATAAGTGGCAAACCAGAAAACCATGGCTTTCAAATCTTTGGACATTTTGTGTCCCTGCAAACAGAAAAAAAAAATCAATAGAAAGAATTTTAACAATATTTTCCTCCATAAAGAGAAATAAAGGTTTTGGAATTTGTTGGAGCACAGATTGGAAACCAGTAATGGGCCAGAAGGGTCAGCACACATCTAAACTGACCCATATTTCAAAGCCGATCCAGCATGCTGGATGCTGGGTCCAGTGTTGTCAGGCATCCCAAATTTTAAGGGACAGTCCCAGATTTATATAAAATGTCTCT